CCTTGTTTTTTTTTTTTTTTTGGTGGAAAGGATTTTTAATTGTTTGTTTCTGCCATAGAGGTTTATTTGGTACTGTATATGATTGAATCTAGATTTTTTTTCCCTGATAAATGGGAAATTCCTAAGCTCAAGTAGCGCACGGTTCGATATGATTGATTCTAGACTAGTGATGATTCCAACAAGGTTGGGCACATCATAGCATCCTGGTTATTTTCCTCAGTTCTATTTCGGATTAAATTTTATGGAAACTTATTAATTAGTTGTAGCTACACTTATTGGTAGTCAGAACAGGTCGCATAGTTTTTCTGATATGTGAAGTTGCATTAATCTATCTTGATATTATTATATAAGAAGAGTTCTGGCTTGTTGGATGATTTCTGTGACATGATCAANGAAAAAAAAAAAAGAAAGTTGGTGCCTTGGTGGCTAGCTGATTGCCTACAATTTCCAAGAGAAGTTTTGGTACTTATGGATCATGGAGGGCTTTGTTTATCAAATTATGGAACTCACCATAGAATGCTGAGAGGTGATAAGATGTCAAAGCATGAAGTTATTTTCTGAAGAAAAGCTTGTTATATTCTTTCATTCAAAAAAACAAAAAACAAAATCTTGTTCTATTTATGTTTGACAGGATGCATAGAAAATCTTGTTCTAATACCCCCCCTGTAAACACTATATTTTACAAAAGATACATGTTTCTCTCCTTGAAAACATCTTTTATTCCTTTCAAGCCAAATATTCCACATGACATATAAAGGGATAGTCTTCCATATCAGCTTAGATCTGCTGCCAACTTTCTGTCCTTGCCAACTAAGGAGAAGACTCTTCACATCTTGCGACAACCATAATATATTCAGGAACATTGCCCAAATCCGCCAAGTACTTTCACAGTGAAGCAAACAGATGACTAGAAGACTAGTTCTTTCTCACAAAAAAAGCATCTGCTGTGCAGTTGAAAGCCCCTCCTTTGTAGCAGCTCTTGAGTCAAACAAGCATTTTCTGCAGTCACCCAGTCAAAGCTCGCAACCTTTGAAGGTGCCTTAGTCTTCCATAGCATTTTTCATGGACAGTCCACCTCCCAATTGCTACAGTTTCCTTGCAGCATGCTGTAGCAGCTCTTGACAGGAAAGTATTCCGGTCCTGCTAAAGTTGCAGATCCGAGTATCCATCTTACTAACATCTAGAGTAATATGCTCCAATAAAATAGAAATTGACTGATTTCAGAAACATCCTAGTCATTGAAATTTCTCCTGAATGATAGCTACCGACCATTTCCTGCAAATCAATAAAGCAGACTGTTAACAGTTGGGCTATACAAAATAGGAACTTGTCTTTAAACTTCCCAACTGCCAACCAGGTATCTTCCCAAAACTTTATACTCTTTCCATCCCCCACTTTTGGTTCAATATTCTGCTGAAATTCTCCCCACAGCTTATAAGTATTCCTAAGTATTGATCGTGATGTACATACTCCCTCAGCCCGACCCTTTTCTTTCATGGAAATCAAGGTCTAGTGGTAAGATTGCAGCATGTGGTGTGTTGCTTAGACGCAATTCATATGTTTGAATCCTGCGGCAGTCAAAAGTTTGGTATTTAAAGGGTAGGTCCACTAATTTAACAAGCTTTGAACCGTGTGCCACTGGTCCTAGAGAATTTTCCAGTTATCCAAAAAAAGGAAGTGTGGCTGGCCATTTTAAAGATGAGCATATTAGCATCTGAAATGTGTGAAAGTGAGGCAGTTTACTGAAAATACTCGAACTAGCCAGAAGAACATGAAGTATGAAGTACCAATTACTGAACCAGAAAGATAAAAATGGGCTTTCATTCTGTATCAATTTAATTGAGGTTTTGAAAGTGGTTTGCATAAGTTTTGAAGAGCTGAATGGGAAATAAGACTAACATATGAGGATTTCAGAAATTAGTCATGGAGATTTGAATCAAAGAATGCGCATTCTACTGTGGTGTAGTGTAGTGTATGTGTGTCCATTAATTTTCCTAATTTACTGTTCCTGGTCGTCCATGTACGTATGTCCATTAATTTTCCTAATTTACTGTTCCTGTTCGTCCATGTTACATGTGTTCTGGCTAAAATGTCAGCAGTTTGATAGATCTTATGCCGGACTAACGACAATTATCTCTGGAATTTTGTGTTGGCTTTAGGTATATCCTTAAAGTTACCATCACCCGTGGTTATGCTGGTAGCATAGTTGAATGTCAAGACTTTGTGGTAAAATTCTCTTTCTCTCATTCTTATTTTGCCAATTTTAAATAGTCGGCGTACCTTATGAAGTCCTAATGAGTTATGACATACATTTTCCTTCGTTCGATTTGTTGGATTGTTAAAGTTCATTAATCTTGTGTTCTTGACGTATCCTGTCAAAAATTCACATTATCTTATGGCCTACCCTCACTGCTCATTTAGGGTTGCTCAAAATTAGATTTATCTAGTTAGCAGCCTTTGCCTCTTTACTTTGAATAAAAGAGTCTAGGGCATTCTGAATTTGCATTTCACCCAAACAAAAGGAAAAGAAAAAAAGGTTCTATAGGGCATTTTGATGGAACCACCAAAAGAAAGAATAAGTTCGGAGAAGGGGCCGGCATGGAATTTATATAATACTTTCTGCATCTCAGATTCGTTTCTAGTTGGTTAATTTTGAACCTGTTTCATGGAGATCTTGAGTGTTACTATATTGAGTACTTGCTGAGTTTATTCTTCTAAAGAAAGAGTACTTGCTGAGTTTACGTCTGGCTTTGAATCAGGTGCGCAACTACAGCCCACCTCCTTCAATCAACAATAGTATTAAGGTAATATTCCTTTCTAGATTTTTCTGCATTCACATTAAGGTAATATTCCTTTCTAAATGTGGGTATTAAGGTAATACCCACATTTTCATTAAACTTGTACACGGAAACATGAAAAGGAAAACAATATTAGACAGCTTGCTGGGTTGGGAGTGAAATGGCTCAAAAGTCTGACTAGTGGACATGGTACTTATAACAAAGTGGCTGACATGGTGATGATATCAAGACACTCACATCTGAGGATCACAATAGGTATCGGAGAGGAGAATTGCACTGCTAGGAGTGCTTATCTGTTTCTATTGTTTAAATTTGCAGATGGAAGTCGGAATTGAAGATTGCCTTCATATTGAGTTCGAGTACAATAAAAGCAAGTGAGTAAAACGTTAATAGTAGTTTGTGTCTTTGGATTTTCATGCCCCACCTTTTCAACTATTACAATGTTCAATCATAACTATGAAGATCACTTACTCCTAGTTTAGATGTGTTGCTTTAGCATGAGGGGAACAGCTTTGATTTGCATTAGTGTCTGTTTGTTCACTCTAATCCTGAAAAACAACTCATGCTCATGTTCTGTGTATTTGTTAATGTTTTTTCGCATGGAAGCATCTACTGATTAGAAGTGCCTCTTCTGACGTGCAATATAATATTCCAGGTATCATCTGAAAGATGTTATCATAGGAAAAATATATTTTCTTCTTGTAAGAATTAAGATTAAGAACATGGATCTTGAGATCAGACGCCGAGAATCAACAGGTTCTGGGGCAAATACCCATGTTGAAACGGAAACGCTGGCCAAGTTTGAGTTGATGGATGGTGCTCCCGTCAGAGGTATATTCAGTCACACTTTAATAGTCGAGCAGTTATCTTCTTCATTGACTTTTGGTTAATATATTGTTGATGTTTGTGCTCGATTGACAGGCGAATCAATACCCATTAGACTCTTCCTTAGTCCATATGAACTGACTCCAACATATCGTAATATCAACAACAAATTTAGTGTGAAATACTATCTGAATCTTGTTCTTGTTGATGAAGAGGACCGTCGGTACTTCAAGCAGCAAGAGATCACTATGTTCCGCCTAGCAGAAACTTCCGTAATAAATCAAGCTGTTGGCGCTTGAGAATGGCTTATTGCCTTGCTATTCTGCCTCGATCTTTGTATTCTGAGATATCTTTATGCGCTTGAGATGGCCATTCTACAAAGGTGCTGAAATGACTTTTTATTGGTAGATTGCGGTATCTGGGAGAACATACTTGCAATTTGTATAGAGTAGGCAGTTGTGTACATGAATATTGAAGTTGGAATCTCTAGTTGATGTTTTTGAGGAACACTGGGTCAAAGGGACAAGGGATTAAGTTAAACCGCAATAAGGAAACCTAATTTAGCTCGTTGTACTTTGTATTGCATTGGATGTTTATCTTGATTGCTTCTTCTTTTGTTGCTCTAAGGGTTTTATTGTATTTTTGCTGCTTTTCTCCGATAATGACATGAGTGACTTATCATTGATTCCTCTACTTCTAATTTCTTTTCTCCTTTTTTCTTTTTAAAGTCCTTTTCTGGCCTTTATATGAACATTTGTTTTGTTAGGAACCTTGTGCATCCCGATTGATTTTGTAATTTGTGGTGTCAACATGTGAATTATAGTGTTTCTTCTTCAACTGCCCTAAGCCATCTATGAATTCTGTTAGTAATTTCGAATCTCTGTGCTCCTTGTTAAAATTTACAAGGAATATTCTGTCTCTAAAGACCTGTTTTCTCTATATTTTTTCGCCCATTAACATCGGAATGGGAAAGACTCAATTGGACGAGAGATTGACAGGTAATTTGAGGTTTGAACTCTTAACAATGCAATTAGACAGTGAATTTGTGATTCCTTAGTCACTTGGCTGTCATTTTGGAGATATGTAGAGGACCTAATTTCATTTGACACAAATCATATCAACTACTTCCCAACATGGTAGACAAGGATAAGGACAAGTAAACGGTTTATCCAAATACTTTTCTTACTGTAGATAGAATTTGATTATAAAATTGGAATTGCGTTACAAGAAATTGTCTTGTTCTCCGTTTGACATCTAAGCATCTTGACATGGAAACGATCACGTCAGTCGAAGCAACTTACGTGTATTGATCCACAGCTTATATTAAAGTGGATGAGTTACGATATATCAAAGCAGAAAAAAGAAGGAAAAAAAAAGGAGTATAACTTTCATAAGTCCTATTTCCTTGAGGTTTTACATTCTCACCTTTGTACACGTCAATAGTATAGTTGTTGAAAGAAAAACTATATAATAATTGCTAGAGGTAAATAAGTTGAGCTCTCAATGAAGTCACTGTATTTGTATATTGTTGAAGTTGAACAACGCCCCCACTACTGAATCTACTTTATTACGGAGTAGTGTTTTTGTGCATCCTAAATGACTTTTAGGTTTTTGTCGGGATGTTTCGAGAGGACTTGGAAAAAGAACTTGGAGCGTCAAGAGAAAATGATAGAGTTAGCGATAGCAAAAGAATATTCAAACTAATAGATTTTAGGGTTTTATACTAGATTATAATTCAATAATATACAGAATGAAACAATCATAAAATGTAAATATATGTGTTGGTTGAGATAAATGTTATGAGATCTTTCATAATCGAGGTCGTGAACTGCCATCTGAACTAATTCACCACTTTGATGATTGATCTAATTAACTTGTTGATGAGTCATTAACCAATAGAAAATTTTAAATTGAGTGCCCTAAAGATTCTTTTCTGTTTTTGTTTATTCAAGATCTTGTTGGTTACTTGTCCCTTTCCACTAATGACGACTTTAAACAAAATTAACTTTGATTAATCATTTAATTTTGAACTAAACTTTTTGGTAATGGGGACATAAGGAGAATTATCAAATCATCCTCATCCTTATCCTAAAGTACTGCCCGCAGTTGGTTTACTTTAAATATTAGAAAAATACAAAGAAACCTCTATTTTCTGTGACGGAGTTTCCTTTTCTTTTGGCAGATAAATGTTCACAAAGATTAAGATTGACCTCATCTTTGTTCATAAAGGGAATAAAATGCATCATCC